GTGCAAAGTAGTCATTCAAGTATCGCATGAGCACTCTTGGTTGCAGTGGTGACTTCTCGAATTCCCTTTCTAAATTGTCCATGTACACATTTGCCAAAAGAGGTGAGAATGGAGATCCCATCGGTAGTCCAAGTATTTGCTCGTAGGTTTGCAGCCTGCCACCTTTTCTCTTGGTTTAGTATATTTTTGCTCTATTCTGTAAAGTGTGCGTTCTTGCTCTGATGATGTCTGTCACTTGAAAACAGACAAGGGGTCATCACATGTTCATCGGGGTCGCAGGATGGTGAGCCAAAAACGTCTTCGCACAATGCAAAACTCTTCTCTACGCGACAATCCTCCTTTAGTTTTCCGGTAAGACAATATCATAAATTCCCTTAAAGTAATTTTTCCTTCGAAATTGAAATTAGTGTCACAATTAAGTAAGAGTTATTTAATTCTCTGCTTTTCCTAACTATTAAATTCCATTCAGCCTATTTCTTAGTATTTCAAAATTGTGACAATTAATCCTAATAGATAATTGTTCTCAACTAAGATATTTTGTTGCTTGACTAACTCTTGCACCTGATTGCCTACGCCTGTTGGGCGTAAACTCTTTATTATCCTTGATTTCAGTACTCATACTTTAAGACTATAAGAATGTTTTTAAAAGAAATAAAGGTGGAAATTTGAATTTGTTAGCTTCCTAAACGAATTTCTATCCAGTTTATTCCCTCTTTTAATAACTAGAAAATCTAAAAATGATAATATGAGATGTATTCACCCAATTTCATTTAAAGTGATGAAGGACTGATAATAGAATTTTCCCACAATGATATGAGTATAGCAGACGTTTCCATTGAATTTCACATAGCCTTGCTTTCTAAAAGTTGTTCTCATCCAGACAGAAGTGAACTGCAGTTTCGTCCTCGCCTCGGTCTTATCAACACCCCCAGCGGAAGTCGAACCGTGACAGTGCAGAATGGGAGCTTGACACATTAACCACTCGGCCACATTGACACGAGTACCCTTGGGCCACAGGGCAAATGTGAATTTTCCCATATCACATTCTTTGGTGGGATTGTCGATGAAGCAAACGCATTTTTACTATAACAATCGACTACTTTACTTATTTTTCGTATGTAAGTTTCGAGACTACCAGTTAATCAGTAAATCATATTACTAATTTACATTCTGCACTGTCACGATTCGACTCCCGCTGGAGGTGTTGATAAGACCGATGCGAGGTCGGAACTGCAGTCCACTCTGTATGAGATCAACTTTTGAGAAAGCAAGGCTCCGTGAAATTTAATGGAAACGTCAGCTCTACTTATATCATTGTTGGAAAATTCTTCTTCTACCAGTCCTTCATCACCATAAACGAAATTGGGTGAATAGATCTCATATTACTGATTTACTACTATCTCGAAACAATACTTAAATGCGAAAAAAGCAACTAAAAATGGTAAATTACTGTCCTTTTCTAACGCCTTAGTAAATTCAATCAAACTATCTATTTGGCTTGTTAACTTAAATAAGTTTACCAAACTCTCTTTGTCATGCTGCTATATAGCAAATTAGTTATCCATAAATCTGAACAAAAGTTTCAAAACTATGAGTGCTTATTAAAGAACCTGGACTTATAAAATAGCTATAAAATGATTAGCTAAAACTGGATACAAGCACGATGCCGTAGCTAAACCTCTAGTTTGCTCATATGATATACCATTAGAAGCAAAATATGCAATATTCATTATTAGGTTCGTCATTATCATGCTTGGCTCCTCGCTTATCTTATTCCCCGATATAAGCCCTGGGTGTTGGTATAATGTTACTCCTAAAGTCTATATGACCTTACTTACCGATATATTCTTGTACATCGATACTACATCAAAACTTACGAGAAAATCTTACTGATCTATTATTTGCTCATCTATTAACTCAATGGAGTCCTAAGAATTCTTTATTGAAAATAACCATAAGCCTGAGATTTGTTTTTAATGACCACAAATAAATCTCTATGTTTCTACATCACACAAGCCTCTATTATTCAAAATTATCTAAAGTGGTGCCCCTTCCTTATAAGCTTTAGGCAGACTATACATATTAGATGGCATAGCATCGTGTTGGAGAAGTGAATATATTCACATAACACACATGTATCCACGCGGCTAAAACTGGCCTTAGAATTACATGATCATGCGCCAGTGTATTTACATAAAGAAAAGCTGTGACCACATCCGTGGCCTTCCTGCAGCAACTTCGTTCGCATACATGCATGCATGAAAAACACAAAGTAGCCAACCGAAGCGTGAGATACCTCATTAAAATCACAAGGTGAGGTGTACAATGTAAGTAAACTTTCAACCGGCCACCTTTCTTGGCTTAGTGTTTTTCGGTTATTGCTCGTAAATGATGGTTTCTGGCTCTGACGATATCTGCAACATTACGGAGGAAAGCTAAGAACGGAGTCATCAGGTTCGCAACATTATGAGCCCAGACCCTCTTTGTACAATTCAATGGTGACAAGTTCAATACAACCCTCATACGGTATCCGATGAGGTTTAACTTACCAATCCCTTCCACCCGCCTTTTCAAACTACACGAAAGACATGCCAGCATCAGGTTTCGAGTCTATCCATCAATCTTGAATGGGAGTTCTAATCACTGTAAGTCGGATAAGGTGGTGACAAAGTGATAAGTCAATTTTCCCTTAACGACATTGGTAGGCTTCACATTTTCATCACATTTCACTTAGCCTTACTTCCCCAAAATAATTTCGGCCTATCCTGGTTTGTGTTCGTTGGGGATGCTAATGAGAACCAGACGAGATCAAAAGTACAATCCATCCTGTAAAATAATAACTTTAGGAAGGCAAGGCTAAATGAAATCAATTTGCATCCTGAGTTCAGCTGATATAATTGTGAGAAAATTCAACTATCAGTCCTTATCAGCTTTGCCGACCTAGGATTAATATAGCTCTTATTCAAGATTTAATGTTAGTTTCGAAACCTACTCAATCCGAATATAAGGATTAACTCACCGCGACAAGGCTTATTCGTGTTCGGGTCTCCATGACTGTCCTCGTCGCAGATTTCACACCTCGGCCCGGCAGTATTATAGCCACAAATACAGCTCCCATCGACGGGGTTGCAAGCGATTGCCGAAGGACTACAATCGCATGGTCGACAGGGCACACCATCCTGTGGAGCCCCGAAGTACATGTGGTCACAGTGGTCACAGTAGCGACCGCGAGTACTAGAAGAAATAATGAAGTAAGATGCAATTATATAATTCTAAAGCTGGATAAAGTATGTAAAACCAGTATTTTGGTAGCCAAGTAGGGGCAAAAAATTAAATGTGTACGTTTAATACTTTGTGAAAGATATTTACAGAAACAGTTTCTTTCAATGCATAAATAGACGCATGTTTATGATCTAAACCAGTGGTTCCAAGAATTTATCTAGTCGCAGCGCCCTTTTTCAATCAAATTTTTTCCATGGCGCCCTACCCTAGGTATGAATATTCGCAAGTAAGAGATAAAAATAAATAAAACTCGTGTATCTTCATTTTTTAACTTTATTAACATTAAATTAATAGTTAATAATTAATGTGATGGATGAGCCTGCAAATCACTGCACATTTTCTCAAATTGAAGCTTCTACAATATTTCGCAGCGCCCCTATAGAGAGTCCGCGGCGCAGAGTTTGCAAATCACTAATCTAAACTATTGAGACATGCATTTCCACATAGAAAAATTCATATACAATTCTTTCAAATAGTAAATAATGATTAAATATGGTATATAAGTTGTGTT